GAAGAAAGATTTCAGGCTAGCGGATTCAAAAAAAAAAAAAAAAAAGGAAAAGAAAGAAAGAAGAAGAAGAAGAAGAAGAAGAAGCACCAAGGGGGATGATTGTTCTGCTTTTAGCATGCTTAGGTTGCAGCATTGATAATTGAATAAAATTGTTAAAAAGAAAGAGAATCACCGAGATAAAATGGATCCATGAAGAATTAAAATCATAGAAAGCATACATTCATGCCCAATGGGTTGTCATGATTTATTTCTCTACCATAGTCACCGAGAAAGTAGTCAACAAGTTTCGGAGTGTGCACTAAGCACTGCAGAGCACTGTTCATGAAACAGGTGTTGCCAAGATTTTGCAAGCCCGTCAATCCTAAAGAACCAGCTTCACGAGAGCTTCCAGAAAAAACTGAAGAATTTACACGGAAGCAGCTAGCACTCCCATTTCCGGAAACACCATTCATCATAAGTGAAGAACCACATGAATTTCCAAGAATAGAATTTGCCAATTCATCCTTTTTCCCTTCTTTGCACTTTATGAAATCTGACAACCCATAAACTTGTAATTCAAGTAGAAGCTGTGCCCAAAATAAAAACAAGAAACAGCCTTCAGAAAGAAACCTTTTTATTGCCATCAAGTCGATTACTATCTATAATCACAAAGCAAGCTTATGAAAATTTCACTTCATATAATTAGGGACTGGGAGGGGGGACGGAAGAACACTCAAAAAACTATTTCTAACAATTATATTTTCTAATTTTATTTAACTAATGAAAAAAGGCCACTTTTGATCACATCTAAAGTACGCCAATGTCAGATAAGTTGCAAGTAATTACTTGCTTAATAGAGTACGTCTCCTTGTAAAAGACAGTAAAAAGATGCCTGCATCTCATTATAATACTATGAAAAATCTCAATAGTTCTCTTCTAAATTCTATTGCCGTTCCCTAATTAAGAAACCCCGTGGAATAAATGCAACAAATCAATAACGCTAGCCTCCTAGGCAACCACTCATACCTTTCTTCGATTCCATTTTTAATTGTTTTCTTTGAAACTCACCTTGCTACTCTATGCGCACTTCACTTACAAAGAAGTTTCATCAATAAACAGTGGAAGTTCACTCTCATATAGACATGGTATATGAAATAAAAATAAAATTCTTAAACATCTCATGATTCATGGAAGCTTAGAAAATAAAGTAGATATTATACTACATTTTCAGAAAAGTATTCGTGTATTGAAAATATTATAGCAATCCAAGCATGATCTGACTGTTAATGACTCTAAGCCAAATCAGTAAAGAAGAAATTGTTAAAGACTAACCTCTTGGTCTGACTGTCGTTGCTTGTTACTGTTAGTAAAAAAGGATATTGTTTCGCCCGAAAAGTCCCAGATTCGCAACTGCATACAGCGTATCATAAGATATACAATTTGACCGTAAATATTTCCTTTTGGTGCTAGAGAAATAAAGTGACATTAAAAGAGAAGAAAGATTGTTACCAACTCTGACTCGACATTGAAGATTTTGCACGCTCTTCTAAACAATTCGACTACATTATCCTGCCAATATAGAACAAAAGATATTAAGAATTAACTAGCATACATTGGGTGAAAGTAATTTTTTTAAGAAAATAAGACTGAAGTGAAAAGTCCAAGAGAGAAACTAAGTTGATAACAGAGTTTTCTCCCCTCCGAATTTCATACTCTCTTTGTTTCCAATCACATTGCAACCCAGAGTTTCACTTTAAAAGCTGCACTGGAACTACGTGATGAACAAGATGGTCCTTACCAAACAAACAGTACACGCTGGGATGGTAAAAACAAAAGATAAATGGACAATTGTTTTATAGGCTTAAGACAAGGGGATAGAGAAATCAATAGGAGGGTATTCATATGAACCAGATTCTGTATTTTTCCCAACGGAAAGCCAAGCAAAAGAGTAACGGCAACTAGAGAAAGGGGGGTTCTATACCAACTTTCTTGTCTCAACGATGGGTGATGTACTATGTAAATTGACTGATACATAAAAATAAAAAAAGGTAAATGGCCGGAAGAAATCTCCATCAATAAAAATAATCTTAACTTCCCATTTGCCTTTTGCCTAAAAAGCTACTAGGATTTAAATTGAAGACCTCAAAATATTTGAGATCGGAGTTCGTCTTTTAACTGCTAATTCAACAAATAGCTGTAAATGCTAAAGGGTCCGCAAACTATCAATGAAGTCATAGAATCTAAGATTAATAAAATTTGAGATGGTAATGAAGCGACCTTTTTGCTTATTCTCACTCCCAAAATATTTGCCTCCCGTTGGATAGAAAGCCTTAGCTGCAAAGGATAAACATCTGCTATATTATTTTCTGCAGCGGAAAAGCTACCACCATTCCTCGTTGAAGACTTGGAATCACTATGCCTACAACACAAACCGCAAGGAATCCTTAAATGGTCTTGCATGATGAAATTCAACCGTCAAGAAAGCATCGGCACATGAAAAAAATTCACGGTTGCAAGGAAGAGCACATCACTTTTTAGTAACATGATTAACTAACAGGAGGTGCCTAGAATTAATTAGCTAACTAGTAAACGTAAATGAGTACAAAATATTTTAGGGGAGGAAAAGAAAAAAGAAAAAGAAAAGGAAAACCCATGTAGACAGAAAGTTTACAGGAATCTATCAATAGTTCAAAATATATTCGGCAAAGACAGGAACCTATAGTGTTACTAGAAGTGATCATCGAAGCTTTCATTTTTTCTTATGGGAAACAGTTTCATAAATGTATGAAATCGCCGTTGTTCAAGACAATGGAAGTTCAAGAAAGCTTCTTCCTTTCAGAAAACTAAATTACCTATTCTTCAATACAGAACTCAGTTCCAAAACTGGAGACATGTTGCACTTTAATTAGATTAACTTAAAATTTATAGCATTCAAAGAAGTGCTAGTGATGCGTGCAAATTAAACAGTGACATTTCGAAACTAAAGTCGGATCCATGTACATCCAAGCTAAACTAAAATGCTACGGGCCCATGTTACTTCCTTTTCTGACCAAGTGGCTATCAACCTCCAAGCAGGTTTAAGCAGAATGGTAATCGGGAATAGATGCTAACACAGTTATATGGGATAGCGGAGCTAATGGATCACAGACATCTTCAGAAGCCCTTTTAGAGAACAGAATCAGTAAAAATATCATATTTTTGTATATACCTGGAGGCATATAAATTGAGCACCTCTAAATTGAACTAGAAGCGATTGCATTGGAGTTGTTTCATAGCATACAATATGCATACAGCAGGAATCCAGTATGAAGAGACGATAACATATTACAATCACAATAATACAATTTTATCTTTCTTTTCGAGATACACTGGAATTATTAATTTTGATGATTGAATAACCAATCAAGTATCTTCTATTCGAGATATGCAATGGAATCAACTCAATTTCCTATCAGAAATAATCCAATTATTGAATATACGCCATACAGCTGGATGAAATAAGTCGTGGCATAGCACTCACCATTTAAGTGCCTGCACCCACATTTCTCCGGAGACCAACGCGTAGTCCCTCCCTGAAATGCCTACTTCACGATTTTCACTATTTTGCGAAGAATCCTCTTCTCTTCTTAGATTAAACACAAGATCCGAGCTGAAAATACTGTTGATGATCTTCATTGGTCCGGCATATGATGAACCTGGCAATGCCAGGAGGGGAAGTCCTCTCTTCCCACCGGCATCGCCAGTTACAGAATCGTGCGCGTCCTTCCACCACCTGAATAATTCAAATCGCAAATTCTCTTAGACACAATGCACTCGCATTTTGACATCTCTCCACTGCGAAGCACCCTCACAACAGTTCAAAAGAGTAAAAAAGCTGCTTCATCTGAGCTACAAGGCATAACATAAAAGGTCGAAATGCACTCAGTATCCAACTACTTTCACCATCACAAAGCACATTTCGGTTTTCTTTTTTCCAAACTTACCGCGGAAAATTTCTCAACTAAACGCATGGATTAGACAATCAAGTTTGCCTAATTCCAATAAAGCTCTAATTCAGATTCGTAAATGCTATACCAAAAAGCACGAAATCCAAGTGTCCAACAATGAATCTACCTGTATGGAACGAAGTAAACTCGCTGATCGTTATCCGAGTTGAGATGCAAAGTGGATGTAGAGAGATCTTCGGATACACCGCCCATAGCAGAGAAAGTAAGACGGTGAAGAGAAGAGTTCAGAAATCACTGATGGAAAAGTAGATCATTGCAGAGAGAGATACACACAGACAGCGCGAGAAAAAATGGCGGATTGAAGAGAAACAAGTGGAGCTTTTGTGTGAAGAGGATTGGAGGAGGGAAAAATAAAATTTTATATATTTCTTCTTCAAGAAATGCAAATTGCAAACCTGTGGTGCCAAATTATGAGATTATATATATAATTTTTTTAAAAAATTATTTCAATGCGGTAAATTCTCCGCGATAAATTTTACCTCGTTTGTTTTTTTTTTTTTTAATAATTCATTTTTTTACGGCTTCCTTTTCAGAGATTTATAAAAGGAAATAAATCCCAAATTTAATTTTTGTGTACAAGATAATTTTGTTGCAGATTTTTCTTCCTTTCCTTTCTTTTACCTCTTCCTTACCGCTTTTCCGAATGGTAAAAAATTAATAAATGTATAATTTAATGGGAGTTTTAAAAACTGCCTCCGCAGAATATAATCCGAAATTGCTTAGAAGTCCGTTCACTGGAATTATTAATTATTCTTTAATTTTTATTTGATAATATATTTTATTTTTATTTTTGTTCACGAACTTTTATGGTCTCTTCAAAAGTTCCTGCAGAGCAGAGCCCCATTGTGAGAGTGGATTGTATTGGCTATGTAATCTAGCAAATAATATAAATATATTAAAATTACTTTTTCAATTCTATTTGGATTGTACTTTTTTTTTTTTTTCATTTTTCATTAATTATTAAACTTTAAAAAAAACACTTATTTTTCTCCTTTTTCATTTTCTATCTCTTCTTTCTTATTGTCCTGGTTCGTAGTTTTAAAATTCGTGTCAATTCGCACCGTCAGTTTCATAGTTTTAAAATGGTTCTACTAAAGAGAGGTTTTATTCTTTTATAAGAAATATCTGTTCTCCTATGAAATTTCACAAATAACAGTCGAATTGCATTTAGTATCATCTTTACCCAAGAGGGGAAGAATTACATTTAAAAGACAAACCTAACACAAAAATATACAATATCTACCTTATGTAACACGTTGGGATTATTTAGCTACTATGTTTACAAAAGCAATAACTGTAAATTGACCAAAACTGTTAGAAAATATTCAAGTACCTAAAAGAGCTAACTATACCAGAGTAATTATGTTGGAATTGAGTCGTGTGTACTAAACCGCTCGACGGTAATGGTGATGGTAAAAGAGTAAGCAATCCTTAAACCCCAATAACTTTATTTGGGAATGAAGGTAGGATTCTATTTGGCTTCAAGGAAACCAAACCAAACCCAGGCGAAAGAGAAAGGGAATGGCATCCAATTCTAACAGAATCACTAACAAAGTGAAATATTAAAGCGAAGAACAACATGATTTCTTTATCCCAGCAAGTAAAAGTGTGTATGCTGTGAATATTGAGCAGGCAGTTTCAGAGCGAGGCCCTAACAGATATCATTGATAATAATAACACAAAAGAAGAGAGACAGAAAAGTGAGACCACCGTATTGCAATTGCTGGTCAAGATCTGGAGGCAATGGATATGTGCTCACGTGCCACGTGATGTTGCCACTGGAACCTAACCTAAAGTAACCACCAAAGAATATTTATAAGAAAACAAAGCATTATACATTGAATAAATGCTTTCCTGAAAAGAAACTCACGTATATATGCATATTCTTTTACACCATCTTTATACTTCTGGTCACAATAGGAGTATAAATGTATTAACTACAGGGTTGGACAATACTCAAGTTGCTAAGCTAGTAGAAAGGGCAAAAGTATGAGTGTTCTAATCGCTTATGGATAACGTGATTTTTTTGTTTAAATGAAGATTAAAGATCATCTGTGAGATCTTACATCAGTTGGAGTGGGAAACAAATCAATCTTTATAATGGTGTGGAAACCTCTCCCTAACAAACGTACTTTAAAAATCTTGAAGGAAAGCCCAAAAAGAACAATATATGCTAACAATGGGCTTAAGCTGTTACATCATCACACAGAAAAATACCTCATTTATAAACTAGTACATTGAATATAGTCTTTGAACTAGGATTAGAAGACAACTTTATATTAAATAATAAGTAGATTATATATATATATATATATTCTTAACAGTTGGAGTCCGCAAATCAAGAGAGTGTGAACCAGTGAGGAAAGGAAATCATACAAATTCACATAAAGAAAACTTTTATGTAAAGTATTAAAGAAGAAGCTTTTATATAAAGTGGCAACGTAATTCCGATATAAGCTCATCAATCAGATCATGGTAAGCCACTATCTCCAACTCCAAAGCTCCTAGAAATTCGAGGATCCTACAACTTAAACATTGATCTGTTCAAGTCGGCAAAAACTGGGATCCAGAGATACCATAGATCATGGGCTCTATAGAGAAGGGTGTGCAACAGAAAAGTGCAAACTTTAGGATGAAAAAACAGCTTAAAGGTTTGTTAAGGAAGCCTAATCGGACAATGTAAAAATGCGTAATTTTATACTGAAAATTAAGCAAGTTTGATTAGTAGTACCGTGAGCCAGTGTCATAAACTCGAATCCAAATTAGAATTCCGCGCAGAATTCCCAAGAAACCGAGTTCATTCTCTGTAGGAATTGAAGTGTTCAGATTCATAATTTTGATGTGCTCGTCCAGAAGTAGCTAAGGTTGTAACTCCACTACTGCCACGAGGATTACCTGGGCCAATGCCCCCATTTGGGTAATGGTCCCTTATTCCCTTCTGATACTGATGGTGCCGTGCACTTGATTCCCTTCGTAGCAGCTCATCACGACGACCAGCATGCTGAGCTCGAAGTGCTGCTAATTGCTCCTCGTACTGAGAATTGATAGCGATAATTCTCTGAAGATATGCATCAAAATGAAGTATGTTCAGTAAAGATGATGTGAAAAACGAGAATGCAAGTGTTGAGGATTATTGGGATTGGGAGTGTCCCACATTGGTTAATTTAGTGGAAGATCATGGGTTTATAAGTGAGGAATACTATCTTCATTGGTATGAGGCCTTTTTGGGGAAGCCCAAAGCAAAGCCATGAGAGCTTATGCTCAAAGTGGACAATATCATACCATTGTGGAGAGTCGTGATTCCTAACATGGTATCAGAGCCATGCCCTAAACCTAACCATGCCAATAGAATCCTCAAATATCGAACAAAGAATGGCGAGCCTCGAAGGTGTAGTCAAAAGTGACTAAAGTGTCGAACAAATGGTGTACTTTGTTCGAGGGCTCCAGAGAAGGAGTCGAGCCTCAATTAAGGGGAGGCTATTCGAGAGCTCCATAAGCCTCAGGGGAGGCTTATAGTGTGCTTTGTTCGAGGGGAGGATTGTTGAGGATTATTGGGATTGGGAGTGTCCCACATTGGTTAATTTAGTGGAAGATCATGGGTTTATAAGTGAGGAATACTATCTTCATTGGTATGAGGCCTTTTGGGGAAGCCCAAAGCAAAGCCATGAGAGCTTATGCTCAAAGTGGACAATATCATACCATTGTGGAGAGTCGTGATTCCTAACATGGTATCAGAGCCATGCCCTAAACCTAACCATGCCAATAGAATCCTCAAATATCGAACAAAGAATGGCGAGCCTCGAAGGTGTAGTCAAAAGTGACTAAAGTGTCGAACAAATGGTGTACTTTGTTCGAGGGCTCCAGAGAAGGAGTCGAGCCTCAATTAAGGGGAGGCTATTCGAGAGCTCCATAAGCCTCAGGGGAGGCTTATAGTGTGCTTTGTTCGAGGGGAGGATTGTTGAGGATTATTGGGATTGGGAGTGTCCCACATTGGTTAATTTAGTGGAAGATCATGGGTTTATAAGTGAGGAATACTATCTTCATTGGTATGAGGCCTTTTGGGGAAGCCCAAAGCAAAGCCATGAGAGCTTATGCTCAAAGTGGACAATATCATACCATTGTGGAGAGTCGTGATTCCTAACAGCAAGTACTGAAATAGGAATGTGCAAATATACCTCTCTATGTCGAGCATTTTCCTCATCCTCTGCATCACTTTGTTCCTTGGAAAAGTTAATGATGTCATCAATGAATTTCTGCTCGAGACCGTCAAAATTCTGCGGCAGCAGGCCATCTCCAAACCTACTTTCCATGTTTTTTCCATGGGATTGAAATCTGAGATCGCTGTTGCTTCCTTTCTCAAGAACCAATTTTGGATTTGGTCTCTGACCTTGAAAGTATGATCTTCTGAGATCACCCCCTTGACCTATGTTTAAACAAGCATATTTCTCAGTGCAGAAATTCTATGCATGGGAGAAGTATATAAACATCTTAAAGGGAAAATAAACAATTAACAGCTTGATACTATGAGGAATATCACATCACCCAACCATTATGAAATGGATACTGTTTTGGCATCAATTAATCGCGTTATTCTTGATAACCACATGTGTGGATACCTAGCTAATTCAATTATCATCTGACCTTGATAGCTTTTGAATGGGGAATGATGAATCTAAAAGAATTAATAGTTCGATTTCTTTTTCGTTAACGGTCTGACTAATCATCTTATATCCAAGAACTATATCATGTGAAAGTAAACTTTGTAAGAGTCTAAATGCCATAAGGCAATTATAGTCATGTTGTTAATTTCTCTTTTCAGTTTCCCAAGGAAAATACTCAATGTAGCTTAGGGAGCACAGGTGATAATTTCAGATCATATAACCAAGTAGACTGAAACGAACAAAAGAATCAAATGAGTCAACCTAAACATAGTTCAACTGCGCCATCGACCAAGAGGTTGATATCAATAAACAAGTACCTAATATGGTTTATTTTACGTAGTCTAGGAAAGGGATATTGTAATGTACAAGAGAATAAAACACTTCATAAGAAAACAGGTGCAAGCAACAATAAGTGATGGATGCAATACACACACTATTAATGCTTGCCTTCATTGAACATGTGAGAGGCCATAGAATTTGGCATCTTCGACTCATCTCTTTCCCATCTCCATTGATCCTCATTTTTCGAAGCTATATATGAATTCTCTCTCTCTGGAGTGAAGGCTTCCAGCCGTCCTTCAAAAGGATCAGGGTGGCTTTGTTCCATCCTTTGACTGGGAACTTGATGCATTTGAGAAACTGAATATGAGCCAAGTCCTGAATCAGGATATTGCCCCTACTGTCTCATTGTTACGCCCACCTGTAAACACCACCAAAGTTTAACCAAAATTTGAAATCCAACCATTCCCAAGTTCAAGTGACATTTTCAGATCATATCAATCAAAATTTGAAAACAAACCATTCCCAATCCCAAGACCAAGACCAACACCCCAGCCCCTCTCTACAACAAACATATTTAGGTCCTACTGTGCCTTCAAGCACTCTCTAATGCGTGGCAGCTCGTATACAACATTATTCCTTTTGCAACCTACCACGCAACCCAAGTATTCGGGAACAGCATTCTCAAACTCAGATAATTTAAACCAAACCAAAGTAACTAACAGACCAAAATTTTAAGTATTCTTGAAACTGAAGTGGCCGTGACGCCATATGCAGATACTTCTAGCTCGCTCTCTGAAGATTATACACACCAACTCTTGCACTAACGCCAGTTTTAATACCTTAACAGATAAAAATAACTATGGAAAAACATGAAATCATTGACGAAGAGGCATCAGACGAGCAACTACGAGCCAAATCATCGCTCTAGACCGATAACATCTCATGTAGAACGACACGTAACAGTAGTATTGCAGGTATAGCAAGAGTTCCGATCAAACGCAGAAAATTTCAAGAACAAAATATCTTTGTACCTTATATGATTTTTTCTCTGTAATGGTCAAGTTATCCTCTCCAGATTGAAATCGAAGCCCGCAGCGTCTCGAGCAAATGAGATGCTAGATGAGGACGATCCAGTTCGGGTCATGGTAGATCCGCACGCCCCGTAACTGTGACCCGCTACACAAACCCCGTAGCGCTTGATCAGTTGATCTCTCTACTCCAACAAAAATTCTAACAAGTCCTTCCTTTCATAATTATGTCTTAATTTCTATATATAGCTTTAAAATCGTGACCATATTTCTTCGTACCATTATGATGTTCATTGTTATATCATCTTTCCCTTTCTTATACTAGGTGGCATTAATCCGTTTTGTGCTCCTTTGTTATGTTCTTTATTTCCTTTTTTCTCGTATACATACATACATACACACACACACACACACATATATATATATATATATTTTTGGAGCATGTCCATCTGCTCTCATACATTTACGATATTGCTTTCACGTGACACTCAAATAAATTAATTTTAATGAACTCAGCTTGTTCGTGTACAACGCTCTTCAAATAGGCTGGCTACCTCAATTTACGATTTAAATATAGTCCTTTGTCCTATTATTTTATTGTAAAACTCGGCTACTATCATAAACCTCCTCCTTCGAGTAGTATAGAACGAAGAATTTTTTAGCTAGTTTCACTCGGCACAACCTCACGATATTTACTATATACATTTATTACAAAATATAATTTTGGTCAATAAATTTAATAACGATCATTTTAAAGTCAAATTTTCTTAATAAAATAAATATAAGAAATACGAACAGAGTGTTCGTAAAAAATTAACAAAATTAAATTGATTATTATTTATCTTCGTCAATTAAATAAGACGTGAAAAAAAATATTAAAATGAAATAAATAATTGAGGAATTATAGAGAAATGTGTATTATTTGATAATTACAGCATACCATATTCAATAAAAAAATGATAATTATTGATAAAAATAAAATGTATTATTGTATTTAATGATATATGCATAACAGAGGAGAGAAGAAGCTTAGAGAGTTTGAATTTTGATTTATATCTTTTCTAAAATAAATAGAGGAAAATAAACTAAAATAAATAAATACACGGAACCAATTTACATCACAATAAAAAAAAGTTACTGAGAAAAGTAAATTTTAACGAGATATTGACTAAGGTGGCATAGAAGGGAATATATTTTATTTTGTTTTTTTTTTTTTTTTTTTTTTGTT